TTATTGACAGCTGCTCTTTTAATAACGATGGAACTCATTAAATTTACTAACCTTATCCCTGGTCAGTTGTAAAAGTTCTAAACTTCTAAAACAACAAAAATTGTTATAAAAACATATGTCTGTAAAAAATATGAAAGTCCCATAACTTAAGATTACAATTATAAAAAAAATATGGTCTGCACTTTATTTTAGATTTTCAACTAATGATGAATTTTACAGGGGTTTGCTCGAAAAATTCTTGGACGATGGCAATCTTCGTTAAACTACTATCAAGAAATTCAAAATAAGAACGAAATCTCGTGACATATTATGTGTTGTATTGATGTGTGATGTAAATTCCTTTCGATTTCATAGAAATCAATTTACTTTATTATACAATCATCACTTTTTGTGACCACGGAGCATACTTAATGCCAATCTAACATAGCGTCCAGATCTTCTTAAAAGACTATCCCACCATGCATTTCACACAGTATAGTTCAATAATTACCCATTAAAACCCTCTCTGTAGCACATTTATTTTTCTAACTATTGTTCTCGTTCTATAAGGTCGTTTGTCAATGTTTTAATTTTGCTTTACCAACTATCTGTGCTTTCACAAGATCAGCGACTGGTGACTTTCTGAAGCGCTTATGATTGTGCATGATGTTCCAACTTGTAAAAAGTTTTGTTGAGATTTTATCAGATAAACAGTTTCTTAAGAGATCAGTCCTCGTCCAATACAGAGACGATGTGGCTGGAAAATACCGCCTGTACCATTTATAAACACATGCACAGCTTACTTATGACAGTGACATTTTCAGAGTTTAATCAGATTTTCATTTTTTGCATAACACAAAATTGCATTGATATCGCCTCTCCGTCAACGTCATCCTTTTTGTTGCTTTCTATGAGGACCACCTACATGTATCTTCTCAAACTAATTTCTTTTCAACGAAGCGAAATATCAAGCTATGATTTGGAATGTAACAGTTCTTAATTTTGAAGTGTAGGATTTATTTCCTTTTTTGTTACATTTTACAGCGTATATATATATGACTACAGAAATTATCTTAATTATTTACTGTGTTGTCTGTCAATTACTAAATTTTGATCTGCTTCGCGGTCCGATGTTTGTAGTTTTTAATTCTGAATAGGTCTGAAATAAATTAGGATAAAATTTTATAACAAATCTTTGAATTTGTTGTAAAAATATTTTTTACCAAGTTTGGATAGCATATGACGTTAAATAAAAAAAGATATGGCAGGAGTCCACTGACAAACCCTCGTATTTAAACTGTTTTTGTATTTTAAATGCCAAGATTTCGCCACCTTGAAATCAATTTTCCGCTGGGGATTTTGTCCCTCTGAATACCCAAAACAAAAATATACTATAGTAAACTATAGTTAACTATAGTTTACCATAGTAAATGGAATTTCCAACGTTTTCACTATAGTTCTCAAAGTTCCAAAGTTTTCTCCATAGTAAATCAAAGTTCCAAAGTTTGCGCCATAGTAAATCAAAGTTCCAAAGTTTTCACTATAGTAAATCAAAGTTTCATTGTTTTTACTATAGTAAATCAAAGTTCCAAAGTTTTCACTGTAGTAAATCTTTTTTTTTTGTATTTTGTTTTGTTAAGGTTTTTTTATCATTATTATTCTGTTTTAAGGGGGATGATATTGGGTTTGTTGGGTCTGTTTTTTGTTGTTTATCTTAATTTAAATATGCACAGTAATTTACATTTAACAGTAGAAAAAAAGTTATCTGAAGTCAAAAAGCAAATATTTTGATTCTAAATGACAGAATTTTTCTCTTATAATATTTTTCCCCACACATAATAATAAATATTGCTTATCTATCGGTGCAAGAGACAATTTGTACATTAAAATTCATTTCTTGTCTTTCGTTCTATTATAGGACCAGTCATATTTTTAAACGTTCTCTGAAACTTAAATGAATCTTTTTCTTGAAATTTCTTAAAATGTACTGAATGGGAAGCAGAAACATAATTTCAAAGGTTTCATAGCACTTAATCAAAGTTCCAAAGTCTTTACTATAGTAAATCAAAGTTCCAAAGTTTATACCATAGTTATTCAAAGTTTCAAAGTTTTTACCATAGTAAATCACAGTTCCAAAGTTTTCACCATAGTAAATCACAGTTCCAAAGTTATTACTACAGTAAATTAAAGTTCCAAAGTTTTTACTATAGTAAATCAAAGTTCCAAAGTTTTCACTGTAGTAAATCAAAGTTCTAAAGTTTTAACTTTGGTACTATAGTTAACTATAGTTTACTATAGTATTTGTTTGCTAGGGCGACCACTCTAGGATACCACAGTCCCGAACCCACTTTTTGGCGGCCCTTAATCTGCCCTATATAGGGTAATTTATACCTACATGTATATTCCATCACAGTTGACGGCGACAATATTGATTTTTTTCTGAAGAAATCAAACTATATTTGCCAACAAAAGGTAACATGGTTGTAAATTCTTCAATTAGGGGCCAGCGGGAAGGATGTGACCACAATAGAGAATGAAATCATAATATGAGATTCTTTTCAAGAACGTGGACGATCTGTTATCAGTTATACAGACACAAATCTTTGGTACGGAAAAAACGTGGCTGTCTTTGGTACGGAAGAACGCAGGCAGGCTTAGGAAGGCGTTTTTTGGTGTTTAAGCCGTTTAAGGATTTTAATTATGAAACCGACAGTGGGAGGTTTCTATTTAAACACATAAGAAATATTATGAAAACGACACCTTACCAACTTAATATGTAAGTAACAAGACTCCTTTATTCAGGAGAACACTTGCATTATCTTTTCTGCATCGGTTTTAACGTTATAATAACATTGTAAAGTCAAAGATCGGAAACTGAAATTAAAGACATACAAGAAACATTTGCTTTTTAATTGTTATAAAACAGACTTATATGTTGGCTTTTTGTTATTTTGATTTATTTACGTTTTTTGGTGACACGCGACATTTTAAAGCATTTTGTGTGTTTTTTTTAATTTCATTAGGTTCATTTGAGGATCAATTGAAATGTTTCATTCAAAAATGTAGAGAATACTAGAGTTATTGAGCAAAATATTCTCAGATTATTATTATTATTAGATACAAAGGGATACAAAACAATGTTGTATAGTTCCTTTACGAGGAAGCATTGCCAAAAGAAATTCATCACCCAGACACATCAATCACGCAATCATGCTCAGGATCTGCACGGGATGCTACTGGTGATCAAAGGTCTTGTGTCACAAATCTGAATTCCTCTGAATTTGAAGTTCAAACAACTCTAACGAAAGATCCTGAAGAGAAAACGTCAAATTATCAGCTGTTGAAGTCTTTAATTAAACATAGACCATGTTCTGCCTAACAACAGGATGAGGAATCATGTTCCATTGATATACTACATAATGGCACGACGAGATCAATGAATGTCAAGGTCAATGAGTGTTTCCTGTCAGTAGTAGATTATAGTTTATACATCGTGCTAAAGGGTCTGTGCATGATAGACAAAGAGCCAGTGGACCAAAGGGAACACCTCAAAGATCAGAACAGATTGCATCCGCACTATTGCCTTGAGAAATCGTCTGGTAATGGCCAGGGATGGGGTTATCGTAGTCAGTAATCGTAATCAGCTGTAATCGATTACAGTTTGCTGAGTAAGCATGAGTGATCAGTAATCACCCATTTTTCTGATTACAAGTAATCGTAATTTAATCGATTACTCTGAAAAAAGTCCTGTAATCTTGATTACTTTTTGATTACTTTATGATTACAATTATTAAAACAAAGTTCATTGAATCATGATTTTTGATGATATTCAGTGAGCAAAAAATATTATATAATTATAAGCTATTTTTAGTTAGGTATTGATAATTGGTAATGGCACATCAGATAAGAGCTCAACTTGAAAGGAATAATAGCTTGTTGAAGAGAGTACAGACCGTCAAAAGTCGACAGCACAGATTTCACTTTCACCCCCCGATGTCCTCGTGGCATTCCCTGTTTGTGGGCCTGACTCCAATAGTATCTTCCCTATCAATTTTGTGTTAAACGCACCTTGCAAAAAATTACACACTTTGAAAAAAAAGTCAAACTAAGCTAAATTTGGAACAAAGTCAATGTACTTTGATTCTTTTTTTTTCAAAGTGCGTTTATATCTACCATATAAATGAACGTTGTAAAAATGTATACGACTCGGTCAATATTTTTGTACAACTTAAATTTATGTTAACACCTGAATATGACTCGTTAATAGACATACATCATTTTGATATTACTATCGAATTTGAAGGAACTTTGAGAAATCTTGACATCATAGAATTTTGAAAAAATCAGCAGCATAAATCATTATTCACTCACAAATTAAGTACATGTATCTAAAAGAAAAAAAACCAACTATATGTGCTTTAAGAAATCCTTATATTATGTAAAAAAAAAACAAAAAAAAAAACATGTGTTCTTTTAACTTGAAAATAAACATACATTGATACATGTATATGTTAACATAAAAAATCCTTGCATATTTTTAAGCAAGAAATCGCATTATTTCTGGAAGGAGCACATGACTGACTTAATCTTTTTACATGGGATGCTTACTTGATGCACATGATCCCACTCTTCTTTTTAAAATAGTATATGTTTTTTTCCAATTCTCTTTGTAACGATCCAGTTTTGACCTCGAAAAAACCATATTTGTTTTCCCCATATTTCAATTAGGAAGGAGATTTGCATCGTAACTATTGAAATGTCAAATATTGAGAAGAATGACAAAAACCCAAAGACATCCAGAAAACCACGAATCTCCTCGCAAATAACATTTATCAATCAAGGTACAATTTGACATCGATCCCTATTCAAAGTACTCAAAGCACTAAAACAAAATAAAACATACACAGAAGGTCCTGACCTTATCACCTCCAAGTTCGTTACAAGCGTAGAAGCTCTTTCTCACACGTTAAAAGATTATAACAATGCTCTCCGTTATGTTGATTATTTATTATTTTAACTTATCAATTAATTAAAAAGCCAGAGAAATGAGTATGGTAGCAACATCCTACTAGAGAATGTATACCCGAAACAGCGTCAATCTGGACGAAGACTTCGTCACCTGGAGAAAACGTAACGGCCACAACTTCTGTTCTCTTCAGGTAATAGTCTTGGTTTGAATCCAGAAATAAATAACCGATTGTGCCTCCATTCCTTCTCAGTAGGAGGTGTAGACTATGACCACCAGGAGAGATTGGGACTGTCCCAATCATAGAGAACATATAGCTACCATCCACCGGGGCCCGGAAAACACCAGTGACGTTGCTGTACGCATGCCCGACATTGGTAATGGTGTCATCAAACACGACGATATGTCCATTAGCGGGGTTATTCAAAGTCTTACTGAGTTGACTCATGAAGACAATTGGTTGGTGAGCTACAAATAAAATTTTTTAACTATTTTGTAATTGTTTACAGAGAAAAATCCGGAAGGAGGCATTTTCAATTGCCTCCAATTTTCAAAAAAAAATTGTAGTGAAACATTTGGAAATAAAGAGGAATATTCAAATCCATCAAACAAGAGAAAACAGGAGCAGAACAAACACGGACCTCCAATTAGGGAATAACTATCTTCTTCTAATTTATAATTTGCGACTGTTAATTTTTTAACAGTCGCAAACTGAGTTTTACTGGCGACGCGTGAGCAGAGAATGTTTGCCACCGTTAAATCAGCATTAACAGTTTAAATTTCAATTTAGAAGATACTTGTTCCAATCTAATGCAATCAATTTTTTTGTTTCTTGGTTATGTCTTATTTTGTTGAGTTCTGTTACATGAAATAGCCGTGGGTATTGTGTTTTGTCTTGCTCTATTATTATATAACAATGAAAAGGCTTTCTCTCTCATTAGACGTCTCACGCATAGAATTGGGACTGATTTTTAACATCAAAATATACTTTCTGACGTAATTGTACAAATGTATACGTCTTTTAGCGTAAAAACGTCAAAAATTAAGGCGTAACAAATTCAACTAGACATCCAATTTTTGCTCCTGTTTTCTAAAAATGTCTTATTTTTAGTTTTTCTTTAAAAACAAAATTTTATTTATTTTGTACATTTTGAAAATAAGAGTTTATCTGTTTTTTTTTTCCAATAACTAGAGAATACAGCTCATATTGGTGCTATACGCCCGGTTAAATACCATCATACATATATTTGTGTCGTAGTAACAAAACCGACTTGACATCAAAATCGCTCTATTAATCTCTCCTACTACATGCTACTCAGCCAAGGAAGGTCAGAGTTCACATTCCTTACACATCGTATTGGAAGTTTAATTGTGACGTCATTGAAATTTAACAAGCCACAGGAATTAATTAACGACATGATCATGCGTAAATAACAACTTGAATTTATTTATTTTATCTATTATTAATAAAATCTTGTAAAATCGCAATACTAGATAGCGATACAGTCGAGTAATAGAAGAAAGCCTTTCGTCAAATATGACGTCATCAGCCTTGACATGACGCAGCACAAGTGAACCAGAGGACTAGATTCACTGGTTTAATAATTTCAAGAATGCTTAAATAAATATGATACCATTGCTAATTTTTAGACCTAATCATTAAAACTAAAAGAAAATAAATTATTAAATACAATGCGTATAGAATATGAATTTATCTAGGAGCATTGAAGCTGCACAGGGATAAGGAATGTAGAGAATATCGCTAAAACGGTGAGCGTATTCGTGATTTACATCAAAAATGCAAGGGCATAGACTATTTTGTTTGAGCTGAAATTTGGAATATTTATTGCTTAAATTGTGTATATTTTAAAAAGTGCTGGGAGCTGATCCTGGTCTGCATAACATTAATTCTATTTATAAGAGAATTTAAGCGAAGTGGAAATTTTTTAGCTATTGTAAGCATTTACGGCAAAATTTCAAGTACTCCGCAAACAGCACTGACTAGCTCCCAGCACATTTTGG